TGCATTGTTGTTGTGCCGAACTCCATCATGTTGTCGAGGGTTAGGACAATTTTGCTGAAAATGAGGACCAACACAAGTAAAACAAGAAACTGCAAAGTTTCCTTGAGGTGGATTTCCTCTTGGAGTATAATTTCCATACCCTCTAGAACTTCCTCCTACATTCTGATTCCTCTTCTCCCACAACTGTACTACATTGATCTTAAGGTCTGCTAGAGTTTCCGTAATAGATTTCAACTCATTTTGCAAATCTACATTAGGATTCACCATTGTGGATAAACTAGCAAGATTTGAACCCATGGATCTTCCTACAACCAATGGAGTTACTTCTCCAGCCACCAAGCTAGAATCATCATCTTCTAAGCTTTCCTCCATTCTAATAGCAATTCGAATGGCTTCAGCTTTAGAAGAAGGCTTCTCATATCTCACCTTACTTCGAATCTCGGGTCTCAAACCTCCGACGAAGTTCTTCATGAGCATTGCTCGTATCCCCACCATTGTAGCATCCACTTCGTCTCCACCCTTCCTCAACACCACGTGGAACCTCGACTCTAACTTCTCAGTTCTCTCCACATAGGTCTTCACCTTCTCGTTCTCTCCTTGTTTCAAGAAGGTGACCTCACACATCAGCTTTTCATAACTTTCATTGGGAAGAAAGTTTTCGATGAGGCTCTCCGTCAATGTCTCCCAAGTGTCCTCCTCCACATGTTCTCTCTTGTACTCCTGGTACCATTTGAGAGCAGAATCCTCCAAAAAATCCGGCAAAAGCATAGCCCACTCAACCTTCTTCCTTTCATTGTTCCCTATGCAAGCCCTCTTGAAGTCCCTAACAAAGGCTTCTACATCCTCATTTTCCCTCCCATAAAACACCGGAAGCTTGCCCATTTCCAACTAATATTTTTTTATAATTTTTTTTTCTATTGGAAATTTATATGGGACTTCCTAATACAATACAAACAACACTAACTCCATCCTTGAGTAATTCATCAAAGGAAACACAAAAAGAATTGGTTGCTCCAAGATAGCCAAAGCTCTCTCCTCCCCTAGGCATACAATGAGTCTTACCCTCATCATCATCTTCTCCATCATCCGAATGATGATCTCCATCTTCAGTTCGAGCTTGAACCCGCTGAGGTCACTTTCTCCGTTTCAGCACTTAGCTTGCTGTCAAACCCTTCCACAAGTGATTCTAGAAGCGCCTTCACTCCGCTGCATTCGTGTCCAGCCGGTAGTCCAATCACTCCGCAATTGTCACAAAAGGTTGCACTTTGGGATTCATGTGGCGATGATGGTCCCAAGTGAAGTTTCAAATCTCCCAAGGTCCTCTTGCTCCTTAATCTTCTATCCTTGTTCCGCAGGGAACAATTGACAACCTTATGTCCCTACTCTCCACAATAAAAGCAAGTCTCACGTTTCACTCTTGGGGATTGACTAACTACTATTTCTTCAAACTCCACCTTGAATTCTCTTGTATTGGAATCTAGAGACACTATAACATCCAAACCTTGAGGTACTTTCAATAACCTAACCTTCCAGCCCCCTTGATCACTCATTTTTCCATAAGGTGGAAACCACTCAAAAGGTCTCTCCCAGAAACGTTATCTGCTAGGCCAAAACTGCGAATAAAGAAACCCAAAACTTTTGCTCTCTTATCCTGATTTTGTACCCGCTGAACTTCAAATCATCATAACTTACTCTCTAGCTGTGATCTCTCAGTGAAATTTTGACTTGCACGTAGTTAATCTTCCAATACACATGTGTAAGAAGTTTCAAAGCCTAACTTGAAATACACAAAAAGTAATTTACTCTGTACAAACTTTCCAGAGAGCAAACTTTTGGTACCCGTGAAAACCCCCTCAACTTCTAACTCTCATATCTTTCTGTTAACACATGGTTTGAACATGAATCAAAAACGTGAACGTTTTCTATCTTCCACTCTAAAATCAATAAAAACTCTGAAAAATACCTTCAAAAATACTTTTTCGATGTCTAAGATCACTTTTCTCTCAAAAAGACCTATTTATGTGAACAAAACATACAAAATTACTTCTAGGATATCATATGAAACTATTGGATAAACAAAGGGAATTTCGCTCTCAAGCACACTCTCCGCTCTTTCATTCCCCAATGTTAACACCAAGTGATCCCTCATGGATACTTTCTCTCGAGCTAGAAATCGAATCCTAAACATTCCGCCTTCTAGATTGAGGTCCCGGAAACGGAACCAAAAATGCAACCTCCGGGCTGACTCTCACTCAGGTTTAGCTCAGATGGCTTTTCGGTAGCTCATCATGATTCTAGAAGACTAGGATTCCGCATCATACTCAGAAGCTAAACACCCTCTCACACAATCTCTCAAGGTATCACTCCAACTCATACACTCATCGACACTCCAAGGTACTGAAAATTCGTCACTCTTTCATATATGAAACAAGTCTATACATATGAACTCTCCAAACTTGCTTGAGAGGCTCTTCCCTACCTCTCTGTATATATTACTTGAGAATTTACCATAGTAACAAATGGTAATTTCTATCTAACTTACTTTTAAGAAGATAAACCATAGTAAGGTTGACTAGTTATCAATATGTGGCAACATGCCATTGGCCCCCTAAACCTTCTAGATGTTTACTAATCCCTAGATTGAGGTGGCGACATGCCATTTCCAACTTCTAGATTTTCCACTTTCCACTAAGTCAACATTAGACTTAGTCTAACCAATGGAATACTCTTTACTTTAGTCAAACCAATCAAAACTAAACATGAAGTTCAAAAGTCTTTTCTCTTGGAATCTAGACTTTTGTACAAGACAAAATAGAAGTGCTCACTCAAATCTTCTAGAACTTCTCTAGTTATTCCGCCAAGTATAGACATTATAGCTAAACTAGCTAGATTTAGTCATAACTATCCTAACCATGATTAACTCCTTGGCTAATTCTAGTTTTATTTCACACATGCAATATCTGGTCTTACAGTCCTGGTTGTAATAAGACAGATTGGCAGCGTTTGGAGAGTATACAAAAGATCTTCTTACAATAAGAAATGGGTGTGATGATCCAAACTTCATATGTTATTCTTCTTGCGGAAACAGGTTGTCTACCTCTTGATGTTGAAGCTCTCTTCTTGACTATCGCTTACGTCAAAAGAGTGAGAGATCTTGATGCTTTTTGACTTACTCTTGAAGCTTTGTGTGCCACACGTTCCAATGGATGGTTTGAAGATGTGATGACTTGATCTTTGAGGTGGAATGTGACGGAACTCGATTAGAATTTGCAACCTATGGTCCTTAGCGAGCGTATCAAGGAAGAATTTCTCACTATTATTTGAAGTAGACGAGGCACTAAAATGGATTTTTATCAACTTCATGTGAATTTTATGCTTGTTTATTGTGAGCAAGTATACTTACTTGTTCATATCTCTACATTTTTACGTCATATTATTGCTAGGCATAGAATAGTATCTCATAGTCTTGGGATTGAAGAAGTATGTTGGTTGAACATTGATAGGAGTGAACGTATTTGTAGACTATGTGATGGAAGAAAACTTGAGTATGAAGAGCATGTGGTTCTTACTTGTACTAGATATATAGAGATTAGAGTGGCTCATAAAGTTATTGTTGAGAATTTTTATTTTTTGCTTCAGTTTGAGCCTTATAATTTAGGTTGTTACATTATAGATTTTATTAGTTACTGTTCTAATGCTCTTTGCCCTAGCTAGGGTATTCTTTTGATTCTCTTAGAGGTTGGAGTTGGATTGTTTGTATTGTGTTTTTCAGACTTTTAACTCTTTGATTCTTGCGGGCTTATCTATTTACCATTCATATATTAGTGATATATTAATGAAAGTAAAGATATTATATATTAGGAGATATAAAAATATTTTTATATATATTTCATGTTGTATATAATATTAGAATCGTAATGGCTAGGTTGAATATGTAAAATATTATTTATCATATGAATTTGGAATAAGATTAAATTACATTGTTTACTCTATTGCTTTAGGTCAAAATATTTGACATATTTTGAAACAAACGTTGTTTTAATGTAAAGAGTATATAGCCATGTATAGATATTGAATGTAGATTGTCTCAAATGGGCTAGATTGGAATTATCACTTTTTCAAACAAAATATATTGAAAATTAGTTTTCAAACTTTTTAAAAAAGTTATATGTTGCCAAATGACATGCATGTAAATAACAAATTAGGTTTAAACAATGATAGGCAAAAATGACACAGCATAATCTATGAATACTCACCAAAAAAATGTATATTATGCATTATGCCAAATTTGTCATTTTGAGTGTTATCAAAGTTTTCACTTGAGTTCTATTGTGAGATCTGTATTCAATGGGTAGTTTTTTCATTGTATTCTCAGGAAAAATCTTATCAAAGAATGATGACAATTTGATTGTTGTCCTGCTTTTGCACATAGATACATCTTCAGTATGGATAAATCTGAAATTTAGATGCTTTTTAATTTTGTAACATTGTTGCGACACACCTTATATGGGTAAATTGCTGTTGCTTGGGGTAAATAGTAAAAAAGAAAATCATATTCATATGTTTCTTTATACTTGATGAAATAAATTTACACAATTGATTGTTGCTAGATGCATTAGTTGATGATACGTATAATGATAATGATCAAAAACTACATAATCAATACATAGTATCGTATGGTTTGAAAGTTGTCAAACTTATTATAATTCTGCAAGTCACAATGCATCTACTCATCGGCCTACATTTGAAGGTTCTTTTGTTGTATGATTCATCTCAACAATCAATGAAAACTGCACATCGAATGAGATCATGCATGTAGTTCATCATCTCACCCAATCTGTAGGTCGCAGCGAATAAGACCATATGAAGCGTTCTCCGAAAAACAGTTCGTGTAGAACACACAAGGAATTGACATCTGAAAAATCCAGAAGCAAGAATAATCACTAATCTAAAACTTTTTCGTGCTGTACAGAAAATACTGAAAGGGTTAACAAGCTCAAAGGGAGAGAGTATAACAGAAGCTGATATTCAGAATATAGAAGCAAAATTCCACACTTCCAACTTTGATTCAAGAATGAATTCTCGAATTCTAAGAATGGTCTTCAAGCTTGACATCATTTGAAGACTACTAGAATCTACCCCATGAGAATCCAGAATCTATGACAAAACTTTTAAAAGAAAAGCCTTGGTTTCCTCAAAATTTTGTGAAAATAAACCTCTTGTGTAGATGGGTGCTTGCTATCAACGACTTGCCGGAGGCCGAGACAGGCAATAAAGTCTTATTGCACAATTTTGAGAAAAGAGATGTGCCTATCTAGTGCGTTCCCTTGAAAGGAATCATCTACTCCTAATTTGATACTTAGTGGGCCAAGCCAACTGATACGTTACCGGACATACTATTTGTAGTCTTTAGAAACCATTTCAGAGGTCTCCTTTGTGCTATCCTCAGATCGGAGAGCAGTAGTGACAGTACGCAAGCGTTTCATCAAGTGTCACAAGATGGTCATTGTATCAAATCGCCAATGTAGTAGCTGTCCAGTCTTTCGTATGCCCATGCTGGATGTTGAGGTCTGTAATACGCATCAAGCCCCAAGTAATCAGATTTTTTATTGATCCCTCCTGACTTTTGAGTAAAACTTGGCGTTCTTAATCAGCCTGTCAGAACTTGTCGACTCTAGCTCACTGAATCACTATGGTCAAACCTGCTTAAGACATTGAGCAAATGTCGCTGCCAATCACATTCTAAAAGTTCATACCACAGTCTCAACCCCCGACAAACAACACGCGTGAATCCTCTCTGTTCAGCTGCTATCTTCAAGCTACATAACTGTTCCACAAAGAACTTCGTACCAAATACCACAAATGAATGCTTACTGCCAACATGAGGACTCCTGGTAACGATTACAAAATGAAATCCGAACTTCAGCTGCAATCTTCAAGACTGATATAAACTAAGCCTCGTTCAGCAAGGCAAAAGCTGTATCTGAAGAGGACATTCCTGAGAAAATTGGAAGCAACTACGATAATACTGTCACTACCCAGTAAAAGAGTAAGTAAAGGGTAGAAACTTTACCCGTAAAACCCTTTTGTGTTTTCCCCACCCGCGTTGTTCAACATGCTCTCTCCTCCAGGGTGCTCATCCAGGTAAGGTGTCACATCATATATCTGAGCACCAACCTCTCTGTTAGAACAGGTAAGAAACTAATATAGAGCGGCTTATCTCAGAAGGACCTTGGAGCTAACACTCCAAATAAATCATCTAACGTTCTAAAAGCAACTTGCAATATACATCCATCTAATTGACTTCTCCGAGCTGTAAGCCATCCACTTGCAATGTATGCATCTTAACTAGCCTGTATCCTAACATGCACCAAGAAAGCTGACTAGACAGTGTAAGGTCTGAAGAGCTCAAGAGAGTTCAGCGTAGACAAATAGCTGATAGATCACAACCAATTGTCAAAATCGCGTAAATCTGATGTATAAGGATTGCGATATCTTTCAGCTATGTGGTTACAACTGTGTGACCAGGAGAGACTGGAAAGCTGGGGCAAGATACCAAGGTTCATACCTTGTTCTTTATGATCAACCACACACTTTCTGCGCTGTTGTGCTTAGAGACTTCCTCCGCAGTATAATTACGCTTTTCCGTGGGTTTGCCCTGAGAGCAAAAAAATACGGAATAACTCAATGTATCAGCGATTGAGTTTCTTAGCTTATACTGAAATACATGGACTTCAACCCAGAAAAGAACATATAACATATTAAGAGCCTGGGTAATCAATGAATGTGAATCAGTGAATGAAATATTCGGTACATGGAGAGAAAGAGCAATACTTTGCGGGATTGTATTCAGCACCTTGACAGCCGCATTCTCTACACCCGACTTACTCATTCTTCCATGCTCAGCCCCTGCAAGAGCGAAAAAATAAACACTTAGAGCAATCTCGGACAAAAAAATCCATCGCCTGCCTTACTAACCCAGCACCTGGCGATTTCCAGAAGGAGACATATTATGCCGTGAAAGTCTCTGCATCCCAAAAAGTTCTTGTTACCCAGCTAGAGGTTCAATTAAGACCCATAAGAACTACTGAGAACCATCTGCAATAAAAAAAATTTCCTTCAAGATTGCCCACCGCCTTGGTTCCTGAGCTTTCCAGATCCTAAAGCTAAAGAAAGGTTCAAATTGAACAAAGCAAAATATCCTGCGGGCTGGCCATCCGCCAATGAATATTGCAGCATTTCCACACTCTTTCGGATTCATTCATCATCAACTTCCATTGTCTGACTCGACATCTCATTCACCTAACTTTACAAGAGAGACAGTGAAGTGATAGCAAGACACCCCACCAGCCAGCTGCATTACATCTTTGCCAACTCTCTTCCCATCTCTACCTTCGCGTCTACCGTGGACTCCAACAATGTCCGTCCATCACATCCAAGATCCGTTCAAAACACTGGTCTAAGACAAGAATCGGGGATGCCATGTAACTCAACAGCCGAAAAATCACAAAAAGCAGGTGAAGGAGAGGAGAGCTTACGAGCAGAAAGAGCCGGATAGAGGATGACAAGAGACATTCCCACTGCCAGCAAGATCGCAACAACGATGGAAAGCAGAAGATTTTCCATCTCTACACGAACAACGCGACCTTTCGTCAACGTCCGCGAGACGATCTATCGCTCGAGCTCTGCGGGCACAACCAGCAGGCGAGCATGAAAATCGAACCTTCCACAGCCAGCAGACCGTCGCGCGTCTTCAATGTTCTGTTCGGTTCGTTACCTGAAGAGTGTTTTCAGCAAGCGCAGTGTAATGTCCACGAGCTGTCGAGCGAATGTGGAGCGCTCCTGTACACGAGGCAAGACGAGCTTTACCTTTTCTGCGCTTTTACCGAGGGGTAATTTTCGGGAATTGAAGTATTTTTCCTTTTAAAAAATATATATATGGAGGTTGGGCCAGGCGACATTGTAGCAGTGGCACTAGTAGCATGTAAGAACAGAAACCTCGTCTTCATCACGTCTGGTGATATGAGGATGAGGTTTCTATAAGTCTTCCATCATGGACGGCATTCGCAATTGGAATGACTACTTGGCCACCATTGGTGACTGGCACATAACTGCTGTCGCTCTGGGGTTGCTAGCCTTAGTTAGGTCAGGTTAGGTTATGACAAATAATTATGATGGCAAGTTGGCAAAGTAAAAGACAAATCTTGCAGTAGAACGTGAAGTGCGAAAGGGAATATTGTCCACTTCCCAAGGGATGATGTTTTAGACCCATACCCTCTACTTTAGCAAATATCCGCCGGCTTACTACGAATCTGATGTCAATCATTCGTTCTTCTTACAGTGCAAATGTCAAATCTATCTCCATTTTTCTATCTTTCTATGCCTTTGATTATGAAACATGGAGAGGTGACTGGATAGACAGGGGCATTATTCTCAACGAATTTTTTAACTCATTATATTCCATTTTACATTTGGAGTTCTGGATAGTAGTGGAGATTTTCGTGATCTATATCTTTGGGATACACAAGAAGTCCTTGCTGATATTTTTAATAAAATATACGTTTGATATTTCAATATGGGAGTGGGAGAAAGCCTCGAACAATGAAGAAGAAAGTTACAAATTCTTCTCACGTATATAGTATCACCCGATGATTAGTGCTTGATAGGCTCAAGTATCTGAATTTATCATCTCAAAAAGTTGCAAATTATGATGGTTACATAAGAACTCAATGGGAAACAGCGAAACGAGAAAAAGCAATTCATGGAAATAGGCTATATGTATTTGGGGTTAGGACTCATGTAGTAGTAGGATTTGCCGATTTTTCGACATATTAACGACCGTCAGTTTCGCCCAGTCGGGGATAGCTGATGAATAGGCTTGTAATGTGGAGACAGATGTTTTAGGGCGGCTGGTTTTCGGTGATTTGTAGTGATGACTGTCAGTAGAGAGTGGGTTCTACTCAAACTAGTGCGTACGTTGACAGAGAAGGTACCAACCATTCTCTATGGAGGAGCCTACTTTCTCTCCACTTGCCTCGCTTTCTTTATTCACTCTTGGTCGGAGTTTAGTGATCGTGCGCTTTAAAATATCAAAACTCGGGAAATTAATAAGATCTTGAGATTCGATATTATTGTACAAGGTGTTTTGCATTTTGGGGTTCACACAAAGAACATCTATCAATGGAACAAAAGTACGGACACAACCACTTGGAGAATTAAAGCAAGGGGATAGTATAATACTATGCCCCAAAAGCATCAAAATGGCCAATAAATCTTCCACCTCAGTTATGAACACAAAATGGTGGATACATGTTATCACTTTCCTTATTGTATGGTATGATGAGATTAACATACGAAATTCTAATTGTTTGATATATACTTCTCTTGAGTTATCCATATTTTGATTGTAACTAAATAATGATATTTAGTTACAATCAGAGATGTAAAGTATTCAATTTATATATTTAAACTCTTAAATTATTGAATGTGCATTGCATAGATTTTCTGATGATTTTCAAATTAATTGATATGATGGATCATAACTTCAAGTGTGTCAATAATTTATCATGAGATAAATATTGCCTTAATTTCATTTGTTTTGTTGATTTTCTATCATTGATATGCTAATAAAGTTACGGAGGATATGATGTTCAAGGATTTTGTATTATTTTGTTTGTGATACATAGAATTTCAATTATGACACATGAAATATATAATCAAGATACACCTCACCAACACATTTCATTATATGATGAAAATCATTAGTTGTAAAACATTTCAGCAAACACTTTTCAACACTACAAATGACTAATGAATTAAGAATCAAATTTTGAACTGATTACAAGACATAAATGTGGTAGATTATCAAATATAATATTCTATCAAAAAATCCAATTCCTGGATATAAATCTTTCCATGATGTTTTAGTTGATCCTTAGCAATCAGCACATTCTCCTTAACTTGTTGTAACACTGTCAGGATAGATATTACAAATTTTTTAATCATCAGTACTTTAAAAAAGAATTCATTGTTTGTAGTAAACCTCATCAAATTTGATGATGGAATTAAAATATCATCATACATAAAATAGAATGACAATATTTTCATGGAGTAACAAGATTTTCAAAATAATATATTCTAATGAAAGATCAATTGAGCAGAAGCACATAATTTAATAATGTGAATCAATCAAAAATATCAAGAAAAAATTTGATTTTAGATGATTTTTTGTCAATTTTACAACAAGATGAAGTATTAAACTAAATATTGGATTGCCAATATATTTATTGATCAATATATTATTTTTTATTTTTCAATAAAAAAATTTATGAAAGATTTTAGTGGCAAAAAACCAAAAGCAAAAGTTCAAAGATTTATTTTACAAACAAATTATAAATTTATGTAGTACCAAATTAATCAAACCTCATAAATTTTTGCAAATGCTATATTTGCTAGAATTCAGATAAATTTGGTAAATTTTTCTTCTTCTTTTTTGCATTAATACTTCAATTTCACTTTTTTCATTATCCTATGATTTGGAAATAAATTGAAGCGTTTTGAATTTTTTTGCATGCATAATATGTTCCAAGGAACTGTTATATGAGAGAATGCGGAAGTCATTTCTTTCCCATTTAACCGAAGTCATATATGGATATTTTGTTGTTAGCCCACGGCACAACTGACGCGAATGCATGAAGTGTTAATTCAAACAATTTATTAAAACAATTATTTTTGTTGTGTTTGTTGAAGGCGTTTTTCACATACGAGTCATGTGCGTATACAACATGCAAATCACGATATTTGCTCTCCTACGATTACATCCGTGCTTTAATGCTTGTCCAGATGCATATGTTATTGATTCATCATCTTACTAATAAACGCATCTTGACTAAAATTGCTTTCATCACGAAAGACGCTTTTAATTCCTTGGAACTATTGTAAGAATCATTGTGCACCTTGGTGTGCAATCCCTTTGCCATGATGAAAAATTGCCAATTTCCTTCAATGTTTGTTGTTGTTAAAATTTTTAAAGCTTGTTGTACAGACATCGTGCCCAGAATCTTTGGTTTCAAATGTGCATGAAGATGAAAACCATTTGTGACAAACAATTGTGGTGGAATTTATTTCATTCAACGCATCATTCACAATATAACAAATGTTCAAATTATCCACAATGTCTATCATCAGCTTTAACAATTCTTGGTGTTATTGAAAGATGATCAATTTTAGATATTAGATATAAGAGATGTTGATAACCATCTTGCAAAAAAATAACGATAGACTTTTTGCAATGCTTCACCATTGCGTGAACGACGCTTGAACATGTCGTTTGTCAATCACGTGAATCATCAATCAACAACTATGTTCAATGAGTAGCGTAAAATATTGCCAAACTTGATTCATTGCATGTGTATTTTGAGTATTTGAAATTTATTTTTTGATGAAATTTTGTTAAATTCAAATATGCACAAAGAATGTGAGTACAATCTTATTGAAATTTTTGTTCAACATCCCATGTGTGACATTTTTTACTACAATATTGATCTGATGAGCAACACATCAAATATAAAGCATTTGATTGAAACTTTTTTTTTCAACAACGTGATAACTTCAATATGCTAATTGAAATGATTTTGTCGTTTCAAGATGAAAACATGCTATCAAGCAAAGTTTTGATGAGTTTGAAATAATTTTGAGCAATATATCCTTTAAAGAATGAAACCAACACAAAATAAAAGTTGCACATCACACCTTTCACACACGCAAATTTGTTGGTCATACATGAACATCTAGATGAGTATTTGCATAAGCAATCAATAAAACGTCTCAATAACAATATTCAAGAAGTAGCGTAGAATACTGTCAAACTTGATTTTGATTTTGCCAAATTTTGTTGAGCTCGAAGATGTACAAAGAATGTATGAACAATTTGATTGAACTTCTTGTTCAACATACCATGCATGGTATTTTTTACTATAATATTGAGCTAATGAGCAACACATCAAATACAAAAAACATGATTGAAACATATTTTTTTCAACAACTACAATAGCTGAATGTTCTTAATTTGTTAACATTATACACGTTCACGCTTTTTACAATTGATATGGACGCAAAATACACATTGAACAGTCGTGATTTTGCCGTCAAACAACACCATTGAAGTCAAGCATGCGGTTGAATTCAGTTTCCAACTAGTCTAACAATTGATATCTTGCCGTCTAGCAATTGCTGGACTGATTTGAAACTAATTTGAATAAAAAAATTATGAAATGTACCTAGGTGCTTCTAATGTAGCTAAGAAAATACATACAACTATTAAAACAAATAATTATAGAATTTTTATGAAAAAATAATGAAATAAAGATATGAAATGTATCCAAAATATTTTGTTTTAGCCAAAAAAATACACAATGATCAAAAAAAGCATGCTACAATAATGATATGAAAAAAGTGAAAATAAAATATGAAATGTACTTGAGTACTTCTATTTTAGCTAAAAAAAAAGCACAATGATTAAAAAAAACATGCTAGTGTAATAATATGGAAGAAAAAAATTTAAAGTATATGAATTGTACCTAAGCTCTTCTAATCTAGCCACAAAAAAAGTCACAATGATTAGAAAAAATATGCTATAGAATTGATATGAAAGTTAAAAAGTGAAAAAAAAAATTGAAATGTACTTGAAATCTTTTGTTTAATGAAAACAAATATTCACAATGATAAAGAAACATGCTTAATATGATACAAAGATAAAATTATGAAAAAAAGCATGAAATGTAAGTAAGATGTATTTTTTTAACTTTTTCTGTTGT